AACCATGGTTCCCTGAGGGGAACGAGACACTGCGTCCTCTAGCGACCCCTAGAGGACGCAGTTCGAAGTTCCACGAAAGGGAACGTCTCGGGTTACTTATGTAACCATGGTTCCCTGAGGGGAACGAGACACTGCGTCCTCTAGGGGTCGCTAGAGGACGCAGTGTCTCGTTCCACGAAAGGGAACTTGTTACACCTCACCTGGATGCGGTGTGGACATGAAAAGCCAAAGAAAACTTTAATCGACAATATTCTGTCAAGCAAACCAAGCAGACGCTCAGCAATCTCGTGACGCGTTACAACAGGTGCGCGATGATGCTAAGTTTCCTGTTACTGAGAGTTTGTCGTGTCTTTTTTTCTTTCTTTAAACCAGTTTAAGCGGATTACAAGAGGCTGTATAGAAAACATCTGCTAAAACTGCTTGTTGGAATTCTTTCAGGTTTCATTTTGTGAAATTGCAATACACTGACTGCACGCTCTCTTCCGAATTATTTTTAAATAGATACTTTTAATGAACTTTGCACTCATGTGATGTTTCATTTTCTAGAAGTGTCCTGTTTTAGGAAATCATGGTGAGGGGATGTGTACATATCATTTAAACGCGGTTTGCTGGACACAGTTTTGCTCCATATGGAGCCTATTAACCTATGTTGTTTATGTTATGTTATGTTATGTGTTGCAATATACAATGATGATATCATGGTACTCTATGAAACCCTTCGAAGTACCATTTAAATACAATAGTACATTGTTTTCTTTGGTGTAAAATAGTGTTACCCATTAGAAATAGAAAATATAAAATGAAATACTTTCTACCATCAAAAAGTATCATTTACTTTAGTACTGATATAATACCATGTTTATGAACATTTATTTTTATATATATTTATAAAAATGTTATATGCATATTTAATTTCACATATATACAGATATAATTAATATTTGTATTGATTTAATATTTAATTTAAGATAAATAATAGCATGCAACTGAAAGTCTGTGTCAGGGCTGAAACAGGGGTGTCAGACTGGAGGGCCGGAGCCCTGCAGAGTTTAGATTCCACCCTAATTAAACACACCAGATTCAACTAATCAAGTCCTTCGGGCTTATTTGAAAACTACATGGTATGTGTATGTTGGAGCAGGATTGGAACTAAACTCTGGATGTGAGTTTGGCACCCCTGGTCTAAAATAACATAGCACCTAAGAATGGAACAAGAATTCTACACATTCCACAAAAAGTCCCATGGTACTACCATAATAACACCTTTGTTTTTGTTTTTTTGCACAAACTGTTATTTTTTACATTTATCATCTTATACAACCACTTTACCATTGTTCTGTAAACTTGCATATATTTTTTCCATTGAATTTTTTTCTTTTTCTTTAAACCACACAGAGCATTAACTGAAGTCGACAAACATGATGAAGAATGGAGCACTGCAGAAGAGCAAGCAGTGGAATGTGAAGGGAGCTATCTGGCTGGCGGGTGTCTTTCACTTCCTCCATTCCTGTGGCTCCGGTTGCCTCCTTCCCTTCTTGACCCTCTACTTCCGGCACCTGGGTCTCAACGCTACCATGATTGGAATCATCATGGCGTCCAAGCACCTGCTCGCCCTGGTGTGGCGCCCATTGTCCAGCGTCCTCACCAGGCAGTACGACAAAAGGCGGACGGTCATAGTGGGCTCCCTGCTCAGCTCGGCATTGGTGGTTTTGACTCTTCTGCTCTTTCCGTCCACAGGAATCCAAGCTGAAAGTGGACGGTGTAACGCTAGTCAACCCGATACTGATCCTACCACCATTCTAGAGTGGGCGACGATTCCATCGCAATCAAATGCTACTGTTTACTCAATAAACCAAACATCTGTAAGTACCGAACAACCTGTTGAAGTTACCACAGTTGTAAGTTCCAACTGGTCAGCAAGAGGCCTGAGATCTGTAAAGAAGCCTCAACAGGAAGAAGACCCTCACACTGAGTTCCTGGGAAGCCTGAAAGTTATGGATGTCCAGCATCAGATGTTCTTTCTGGTTCTCATTGTGATGGGTTTGTGGGAGTTCATGGCCGCCCCGTTGGAATGGACGGCTGATGATGGACTCTACGAATACTTGGATTTCGTAGACGCCACCGACCACCATAATGGCGTGAAGGTCTGGAAGCAGCTTGGAGCTGCTTTTGGCAACTGTGCAGTTGGAGTTCTTGTAACCAGTCTGTTTTGTCTTACAGGAACTACATTGGAGTTTTACTCCTACACTACATTTATGATCCTAACCGTCCCTACAGCCGCCCTGCTTCCAATCTACCTCCGCAAGCGTGAGCGGCCCACTAGTGCAGGCTTTAAGGCACTACAATTGGTGCGTGGGAACTTGCAGGCGATACTTTGTGCCGTCACTGTCATTTTGATGGGCATGGTGAACTCCGCTGTATCGGATTTCCTCTTATGGCACATGCAGGACTGCGGTGCCATGGAAATCCACATGGGCGTCTCTTTAGCCTTGGCGCACTTAAGCCAAACTGGCTTTGCTCCAATTGCTGGCCATCTCTCCCAGTTTCTAAAGTACCACGGTTGGTTACTAGTACTCGCTGTTGTTAGTTTAGCCCTACAGTGTCTTTATTACTCCTTCCTGTGGGGCCCGTGGGCTGTAATACCCGCTCAACTGCTGGCGGGCTTCAGCACCGGCGCCCTCTGGTGGTCCGTAACATCGCAAAGCGAAGACATCGCCACTCCCGGCACTGAAAAGACCATTTTAAGGCTGTTTGAGGCACTTTCTCTGGAGTTGGGAGCAGCGTTTGGCAGTCTGGCGGCTGGGTTTGTGGTGCAAAAGTTTGGGGTCCAAGTGCTTTTCCAAGGCACAGCGGTCATTCTGGCTTTGTGGAGCAGCGCTCTTGCTGTACTCAAGTGGAAGATTCCTCGGCAGCGCCAGATAAACTACTCACGCCTGCTGGCCGCTGACACCGAGATGAGCGAGTCGGAGTCAGATCAGGAGAAAGACTGGCTTGAGACGGCTATGGAAGACGCTACAGGAAATAACAAGTGCATAATAGATAAGTCTTAATCAACTTGTTAACAGTCGGCAAATAAAAAACTAAGAGTGAAATATCACTAATACTGTTCAGTATCTGCAAAGAATTATTTTCTTACTCCTACACCATATTTTTGTTACATTTTGCCATGTAAATATCTAAAAATGTTTAAATAAATATGCATTTACTTGAGAAGTATAATAACAAACAAGAACACAAGTCTTGTTTTCTAAGAAAATGTATCAAAATTGACATGAAACATGATTCAATATCTTATGTCATTATAGTTCTCAAGAAATTAAGTCTTGTTTTCTGATAAAATTATCCAAATTAATTACGTGTATGCGTAAAACAAGAAAAAAATATTTGTCAATGGGATAAAAAGAATAAATTAATTCAAATGGAAAACAATATACATTTTCTTACCACACTGGCACCACATTAATGACTTAATATCTTAACATCTGAAGTCATTTTCCCTCTCAAGTAAATGCGTCTTGATTTAGTTTTTAATTATTTGTGATGGAAAGCAAGCAAAAAAAACATTTGCCGTCCATAAGGGCATGTTCTAATTCATCTTTATCATAATAACATTCATCATGGATGAAGTTATATCAATTAATTACTCTCTCAAGCCAGATACATTTTTATTTGGGATTATTTAAATCTTCGAGAGAAGAATTATAGCTCCAATACCTATAGGATCTTTGAATATCCTAAAATGTACATCATCTTTTGTGTGTGAAGATTTGTTGTTTAACAGGTCAGCTCTTTCCTAGACTGAAGGGCTGGAGATGAGCTAATCTGGTTTGTTTGCTTACGGTAGGCATTTCCTCTCTGCCAAACAGCAATAATCATGTGAGCAAATAGTGCCTGTTGTTTCATCTTCACACCCTTTCGTTACCACTCATTTTTATTTTTTGCAAATATTTGTGATCTGAAGCTAAGTTACTCAGTTACATGTTATGCAGAAACTTTATTTATTGTGCATGAGGCACTCAAATTCTCCACAATTAGGTATCACTTGAACGAGGGTTTATTAAAGATAATCATAATAAAAGTATCTTGCTTCTAGTTTAAGGGATTGTGTACAAGATGTTTGACTTAGAAATGAAGTTAGCCAACCCTGTTTTGAGGGGGAAAAAAGCTTTTCAAACTTGTTCTTGAGTAAATTTTCCTGTACAGCGGGTCTAGAGTGTAGAGCAGCGTACTTGTGACTGACAACTCTTTTTTTTTTTTTTAAGGATGGGAATAAATATTCTTAACATGTCATGTTTGAAAAAAAAAAACATCTAATAAATGATTATTTCCTCTTTCAACAAATGCATGAAGTCAAGCGTTTGTCATTTTGTCTAAATGTCTTGATAAGCTCTGCATCGTAACAAGTGGTGTACTTTGACCCAGCCTTAATCATTTTATTGCATTGTGTAAATAAATCAATGAACGTGGATTTGCCATGTTAACATTTCATGCATAGCAGTGTGTCAGTGTTTATGTTGTTTCCTTTAGATCAGAATTAAAGCTCAAATCTAGCCGCAAGCATTGACACCAGAGTCAGACTGCATAGCTAAAAGTGCTTTCTCCTCAAAGGGTTAATCAGTCAATACAACCAGGCTGGTAATGGTTCAGCAAGATCGCAACACTTCCTCAAGCTGAAACCCAACCCATGCACACAAAGGTTTTCTGTAGGCCTCATTCACAGTTGCAACCATATGTTTAACTTTTATGTCCTGACTGTTGACTGGGATAAACCACTTGTTTTACAATTCAAATTAATTTAAGCACGTGCTTATGTTATCCTAAAGGCTGTAACAGACTGATAAAAAAAAAGTTTCTAAGAATTTGTGACATGGATCATTCTTTTACTGACAGGGACTGTTACATTGTATAGACAGTCTAAAAGTGTTTTCTAATTATACAATGCATTCATGTAACATTAATGTCTGGCATTTATTTGTATTTTTTATTTTTTTAATATGAACATGGCATCATGTCCACTGACCCAAAGACTGAGAGTGATTCATGTTTTAAAGGTAAGTATAAGTCATAAGTTAGGCTACTTTGAGTTTTTACTTTCCACATTTGTCAACTTAAAGGGGGCATATGATGCGATTTCAATTTTTCCTTTCTCTGAAGTGTTACAAGCTCTTGGTGCATAAAGAAGATCTGTAAAGTTGCAAAGACTAAAGTCTCAAATCCAAAGAGATATTCTTTATAAAAGTTAAGAGTCAGCCACACCTACCTAAAACAGCTCGTTCTAACACGCCCCCACACGTCTACGTCACGATGTGGGAAGATTTGCATAACGCCGCCCAAATGTTCACGCAAAGAAAGAAGTCGTAACTTTTATTCTTGCTGTAGTATTGTTGTTGCTGCTGCCATGTTGTGGAGTCACTGTGTTTTGTTGTGAAAGCGAAACTACTTTGTTTGGCCTTCCAAAAGAGGACGATATCTGCTTCGTCATGCCTGGAGTTGATCCGTGCTGGTCGCTGAGGGAATACTACAACTTTGCGCTGTCGATCGCTGGATCGGCTTTCACCGTGGACGAAGCGGAGTCCAGCCCGGGGTCGTCACATGTGGTTGCCGCAAGCCCTCCGGCCTCCGCACACTCTAGCCCGTGATGTGTTTTGTTGTGACAGTGAAACTACTTTGTTTGGCCTTCCAAAAGAGGACACGACTAGAAATCAGTGCTTAAGTTGTATTAACAATACTGTTCCAGAACACTTCAACCCAAATATTCAGATGTGTGCAGCGCATTTTATGGAG